TTGATATTTGCAACCATAGTAAAACAAAGACTTATATTTTTGACATTTATTTTATATATTTAAATGCCATTTAACAAAGAAAAATCAACCAAAAAAATGAGTTCGTGTGTCAGAGGTTCGCCATCACTGGTCTATACTTTTGTCCTGATGCCTCAGGTAATAAGTAGATGACATCTGGGGCCCAAAGGAAAGATGGTTTGCGTAGCTCGCGCCAATGCTGTCGTGGTTATCCAGAAAACGTGTCCGGTCACCTCTTGCTGGTCCCACAGATGTGATTGCAACAGCGTAGGGTTACTCCCCCTCTCCCCGTCCCTCCAGAAACCTGGCTTTTCTCCTCTGGTCATGTTGACCCACGCAGTTTACAAACGTCCCTGTTTTGAATCCATAAAATGAGTAATGATGTTTTAAAAAGCCAATAGCATGGGGCTTTGTGTGTCTTTTCAACCTTGGCTGTTCAGATAGCTGTTTTGATCTGTAAGTCTGCAATATAGTTGTTCCTTTCAGGATCAGTGGTAGGCGGTTTCTGAGTCATCTTGAGACAGAGGTGCAAGATTTTTTATTTTATTTTAATATATTTTTATTGATTTCAGAGAGGGAGGGAGAGGGAGAGAAACATCAATGAAGAGAGAGAATCATGGATCGGCTGCCTCCTGCCCGCCCCACACTGGGGATCGAGCCCACAACCCGGGCACGTGCCCTGACCTGGAATCGAACCGTGACCTCCTGGCTCATAGGTCGACGCTCAACCCTGAGCCATGCCAGCCGGGCCGGAGATGCAAGTGTTTGAAGGATGTCTCCATGGGGACGTTTCTAGAGAACATGAGTCCACTTTGACTTCGCTCTGTTTTCATTGGCAGATGCACGCCCCTTGCCTGTGATCACGGGATCCAGCGTTAGTCAGAGTGGAAAGAATTATGTAGGTTGGGTTGTGTTGAGATTGATAAACTCCTGATAGTCGTGAGCAGCAGGGGAAATCGCCGGACCTTTTGTCCAAGAAAAAGAAAACACACTTTCTGATGTAAATTGTGAGCTCTTTTCCCCGGAGTTAATTTTCCGGGGCGCTTGCGCGAAGAAGACGTATTAATGGCCGGACGTGTCTTCCCGCCGGACTTGCTTTTCCCAGTGTCTCCTCGTCGCTCTATTTCTTCCTTCTGAACTTCTGGGGACGTGGACGAGTTGGAGTACACGTGAAGTTGTGTTCGTGTCGTTTGTGATTATGAAAGATACATTTTCCATCCCAAACGGGAATTCGGCGAGCCCCCTGATCTCCGTGCGCACCCGACACAGGCGGCACCTCACCAGATTTAGGGGGTCCCTGTTCTCATGGATTTTTTGTTATTATTATTGATATCAGAGAGAAAGGGGGAAGGAGAAAGACATAGAAACATCCATGATGAAAGAGAATCATCCATCAGCTGCCTCCTGCACGCCCCCCACCGGGGATCAAACCTACAACCCGGGCATGTGCCCTTGACCGGGATTCGAACCATGACCTCCTGGTTCCTAGGTCAGTGCTCGACCACTGACCCACACGGGCCGGACTGTGTCATGGATTTTTGCAGCAAGGAAAGCGGGTGGGGTATTTCATGCCGTTTTCGGCAGAATACAACTGGCAGGCTCCCTCTCCCTTCCTCTCTCTGAAATAAATTTTAAAAAATATTTTTAAAAAAGAGAGAGAGTCACTCGAGATGTTTGTTACAGAGCGAATTTCCAGGCCCAAACCCAGAGCCAGGCTCTTGGCGGTGGAGTCGGAGGGCCCGCGCTGTTTACGGCTCCTCTGGCGAGGTCTTCTGGTTGCTCGTGTCCTGAGCACCATCCGAGCCCTTCACGCTCTGACAGCATTTCCTGTGACACGGTGACGTCTTCCCTGGAGGCGGAGGTTATCTTTTGGTCACTCAGAGAGGAAGGGAGGGAGGGAGGGAGAGAGAGAGATCAATGATAAGAGAGAATCATGGATCAGCTGCCTCCTGCACGCCCCCTCCTGGGGATCGAGCCCGAAACCCAGGCATGTGCCCTGACCGGGAATCGAACCATGACCTCCTGGTTCCTAGGTTGAGGCTCAACCACTGAGCCACACCAGCCGGGCATCATAAATGTTTGGCAGGCTAATGCCTGACGTGGTTTTTCCCTTTCTCCCCTCTTCTACGCCTTGTTAAGTTCAATGTGTTTTGGAGCCCGATAGAAGCCAGTGACCGCGAGCGCTGGTCAGCAGTAAATCCCCAGAAACGGCCAGGGAAGGGGCCATAGTCGACGTGACCCCGCAAACAAATAGCACGTGGCCCGAGGTGCAAGTGACAAGCACTTCCAAGCTGGAGCAAAGCGGTATTTTCCGTCGCTTGTTGTCCCCGCGGTGGATTTCACAAACGTCTTGTTGATGCGCCCGGGTGATACATGCTCCTCAGACCTCAGCTGCTTTTTTCTTTTTTTAAGCCTCAGTGATTGTTAGTTGCCATGAACCATAACTTGAGATTTGCTTATCAACAAATTTCATTAAAAAAAAAAAAAAGTAGTGGCACCCTGGCTGGTGTGCTTCAGTGGTTAGAACGTCGGTCCCTGCACCAAAGGGTCTTGGGTTCGGTTCCCGGTCAGGGACACGGGCCTGGGTTGCAAGTTCAATCCCTGACCCAATCAGGGCATGTGCAGGAGGCAACCAGTTGATGTGTCTCTCGCACATCGATGATTCCCTCTCTCCCTCCCGCCCTCCCAGTCTCTCTCTTAAAAGGAAAAAATATAATCGGGTGAGGATTAACAACCAAAAGTAGTTACAAAGTTTTTATTAATGACTGTGGCACCTCTGACATGCACACATTTTTTTGGATAACCTTCCCTCCTGGAGGCGGGACTTAATTCCCCTCCGCTGGCCTGTGACTCATTTTTAATGAATGGCGTAGGGAATGGAAAAAAATATTTAAGCCCTGGCTGGTTTGACTCGGTGGATGGAGCATCGGCCTGCGGACTGTAAGGTCCCAGGTTCGATTCCCGGTCAGGGGCACAGTAAGCCAAAAAGGGATATGATGAAGTACATACATACTGTCAAGCCCTGGAATTGAACCAAACTATATTCAAAGTTTAAACTATAAAAATGTAGGATAAATTAAAATAATCACAGCTAGCCCTAGCCGGTTTGGCTCAGTGGATAGAGCGTCGGCCTGCGGACTGAAGGGTCCCAGGTTCGATTCCGGTCAAGGGCATGTACCTTGGTTGCGGGCACATCCCCAGTAGGAGGTGTGCAGGAGGCAGCTGATCGATGTTTCTCTCTCATCAATGTTCCTAACTCTCTCTCCCTCTCCCTTCCTCTCTGTAAAAAATCAATAAAATATGTTTAAAAAAAGAAAGAAAGAAAGAAAGAAAGAAAGAAAGAAGAAAAAGAGATGTTTCAAAAGAAAGGACGAGTACTTGGGACCCAGGGATGTTGTAACTGGACACAGACATGAGGTTGCTGCGGCCGCCTCGGTCTCATGTTCGCTGCCCAGCGCCCCCGGGGACGCGGGGTGAGGCCTGAAAGAGTGGCCCTCTGTCCGTCTGAGTGGGCATTGTGCAGGATGTGAGTTTTAGCTTCTTGACTTCTAGGAAATCGCAGACAGAGAGGCCTTTGTTCGCGAAGGGCTGCAGACTCCATCCCTCATAAAGAGCTTATCATCCGAGCGAACTCATAACGCGCCGTGTTATTCCTGTAAGAAACGCGTAATGGTCCCAGGGCAGCGAACCTGCTCCCGGGCAACAAAGGCCCTTTCAGCGTCCGCGCGGCCAGGCCCGGCCAGCGCCCCCCATCCGTCACGTCACCACGGCTGACCCCGCGTGGTTCGTTTCTGTTCTCGCTCAGTGAACACCCGCAGGGAGAGAGAGGTTTGTACCAGGTGACTTTCTCTGATGCCTGACATTTATTGCAACGATTTCTCTCTTTTAAAATAAATAAATATATATGTGTGTTTTTATTGATTTCAGAGAGAGAGAGAGAAACATCAGTGAGGAGAGAGAATCATGGATCGGCTGCCTCCTGCACGCCCCCTACTGGGGATGGAGCCTGCCACCCGGGCATGTGCCCTGACCGGGAATCGAACCGTGACCTCCTGGTCCATAGGTCGATGTTCCACTGAGCCACGCCGGCCGGGTTTGGTGCCTTATTTAAAGCTGAGTCCAGGCTGATGAGCTTGTCTTCGGTCCCATGTTTCTGACAGTTTGTACTTGGGGCTGGTGGCGTTCGATTTTTCGAGTCGTGTTACTGTGAAGCCTGGGCAGGCCTCTGCTTGGCTCTCGTGAGGAAACTTGCTGAATCGATCTGCTTGGAGGCCGGGGTTA